AATATATCGGTATCCCAATCGGTACCTCGGTATCCTAATTGGTATTATCGAATACGAAATTAAATACCATTACAATTAGTAATTAAATATATAAATTAGATTTGATTGTTTAATATAGGACAAAGAGACTAAGAAAAGAGTCTTGAGTTTGTCTAGAGCTAGGATATGGATAAAGAGAATTGAGGAGAGGTGGCATCTCAAGTTTTTGTCATTGGTAATCTTTAATTTGTTGGAGGCTGAGAGAAGACTAATACTAGTGTTTGCTTTTTGATGTTATGAAAATAACAATAGATTGGTGGTTGAGGGTCGTGTAGTAGTGAATGAGAGAGTCTAATTGAGAGGATAAAATACACACTAGCTTATATTTCGGTATTGTTCGGTATTTCAGTATATATCGATCCCAATCCCGTAATCCCTAATACCAAATAACAATTTAAATTGAATCTCAATCCCAATCCCAAGAAATAATATGTGTATTCGGTAATACCAAATATAGACAAATTCGGTACGATATTCAGTATATCCCATATACCGGTATCAAACTTCCAGCCCTAGTCCCGACCTGGTAAAGGTGTACCCACATATATGAACTTAACTGTTTTCGGGTTTAGATCGGATTGATCCCGACCATCAGCCCATATAAGTTGTTGCTAATTCAGGCCGAATCGTATGGATGATTCTCTAATTTAGAACCCATTAATCTTACTTGTGATCGATTCAGATCAAACTGGCAACAAAACCAACTCGATCTGCTACTTACGTGTCTTATGCTATACCTCGAAACAGAAAAAGAAAGGCAGAAAAAATAGGTTGAATACACTTGTATATCCAAAACTTTCACGGTTGTGCCAATAATATCCAAATTTTCCGAAATACCACTTATATCCATGTTTTAAAGTTGTTCTTTGCCAAATCTATCCATTTCCCAATATCTTTTTGGTTAAATACACTTGTATATCCAAAAACACCGTTAAAGAATGCGAAGGAATTGGATATAAGTGATATTTCGGGAAATTTGGATATTATTGGCACAATCGTGAAAATTTTGGATACACAAGTGTATTTAAAAAAATTAATAAAAGTATTTGTGCTGAGCAGATATATCGATAAGGAGACCGGAGGAATCAGGAAGCGCACATTTGCCTGCCTGCCCGGCCGATAGCACAATTTATCCTTCTGTACATGTTTAATATACTTTAATTGAAATAATAATAATATATATTCTGTGAGAACGATTCTGGTGTCATCATTCCCAGGACAGGGGTGCAGTGCATATGTAATATATATACACAAATGAAATGGGGGATGATGATAATGTTGTTATACATTAATATATGTCTCTTTACTTCGTATATATATCACTGCCTCATCAAAGGCGGTTTACTTTGGTACGTACCACATGCTTTGCCGAGCAAAAGGGCCCTCCTTGCCCATTATTGTATATATCCTTGGCTTGTTGTTGTAAGATAATAATAGATTATTCAATATTATATTGTTGTTGGTGCCCTTACATTGGAGGGATAAGTAGAGGTGTCAATCAGCGGGTTCGGGCTGAGTTCATTCGAGTTGCGGGTTGATCGGGTTGCGGGTTACTCGGGTTGTGGATCGGGCGGTTCGGGTTGTGGGTTTTACGGATTACTAGTGTCCTAAATCGTAACTACATGAAGCTAGCAGAATACAGTAAATATCTATTAAGGAGACTACCAAGACTTGATACTATTACTAGGTATAGAATATATCAAATGGACGTTTGTATGATTATATATTTGCTTTGATAAAGAAAAGTGAGGAAGGAAACCATCTTGAATCACAATCCTACAGAATAAATTAAAAAATAAAAGATAAACCAATTCAAGTTAAACAAACAGAAACTTTGGAGGAGGGGAATTATTTGCCCGACTTGTCAAAAAAATTTGGGGAAACAAAATTTTGAATGAGGGGAATTATTGGGGAAACAAAGTCAAAAGACTCAAAGTCTCTGCATCGTGGCTTTCAATTGAGGGAAATAAAATTTTGGGAACACATGGGGGAAATTATTGGCGGGTCTCGGCTCTCGGGTGGGGGGAATCAAATTTTTGGGCAGTAGTATTGGGGGAACCCAAAATTTGGAGAGAAAAGTTTAAAAATAGTTTTTTTTTAATTTTTTAAAAACAAGTGAAATTGTTCATATAAATGTATAGAGAAATTGTTGATTTAGCAAGTTAATTGTTTATTTGATTTTTGTATTAAACTAAGTTATAAATTTAGAAAAATTGTTGTGAGATCAATTGTAACTTTACTCGATAACATATAATCTAAACTCTAAATAGTCTATACCTTGAAACCCAAATGATTTTATTCATGAACATGTGTTAATAAATAACTTGATCCTTATTATTTACGATTTTGACTAATCTTGGCTAAACCATTAATAGTTTAATACATTAACCCTAACCCATTACCCTAACCATATACCCTATACGCCGACTCTATATCATATACCCTAAACCCATAGTGGTTTGATTGATAAACATATGTTAATAAATAAAAAAAACTTGATCCGTATTAGTTATGATTTTGACTAATCATGGCTAAACTATTAATACCTTATACCCTATAAGTTGACTTTATAATCTATACCCTAAACCCCTAATGGTTTGATTCATGAACAAATATTAATAAGAAAACTTGATCTTATTAGTTATGATTTTGACTAATCGTGGCCAAACCATTAATACCTTATACTCTAACAATATACCCTACAAGTCGACTCTATAACCTATACCCTAAACCCCTACTGGTTTGATTCATGAACATATGTTAATAAGAAAAGTTGATCTTATTAGTTATGGTTTTGACTAACCGTGGTCAAACCATTAAGACCTTATACCCTAAACATATACCCTATAAGTCGATCCTTATTAGTTATAAGTTATTATTTTGAGTTTTTGACTAATCGTGCCTAAACCATTAATACCTTATACCCTAACCTTATTAGTTAACCGTAACTTGTTTTTTCCAAGCTTTTTTATTCATTATTTGTTTTTTCAATCCATTAGTTCCTTTTTTTTGGTGAAAATCCATTAGTTACTTTGAAAGCCATTATAAGAGCCTTAATTTCATATTACCTTTTTGATGTTTTCTTACCCTTTTTATTAATTTTATGTTTTTATCATCTGTTGACTCCTGGTACGACGTCGTTTCAGAAATCCTACGGCTATGCGCGAGTGTGAGGCAGTCCTCTCCATCCTATATTCTTCATCCTCTTCCTACTCATCGAAACCTAAAACTTTCCTTTGCAAATCCAGCCGAACCTTTACCACAATGGCGCCCCATTATATTCTTCACTCCGTCAATAAATTCCATCTACTTTGCCGGAGGCTTTCATCCTGTCTTGTTCGTCTAATTTCCATACGACACGGTCGGCTTTTGTGCATCGAATCGAACCCTAGAATCTATCACTTCCTTCTTGCTTGCTGCCATTCTCTTCTCTGTATCGACTCACATGATTATGTTTTTAGATGTATTGAACATAAAGGAAATAGAGATGTGCATAGCTATTTGAATAGTCAGGCTAAACCTATTTCAAGGAGTACACATAAATCTGACATTGTGATGATCCATGAAAGAATGAAGGAGGAGTTAAAGTCTAGCTTGCAAAAGATTTCTAGTCGTATTTGTTTGACTAGTGATATGTGGACTTCATTGACAACTAGAGGATTTATATGCTTGACGGCTCATTATGTTGATGATGAATGGAAACTAAATAGCAAGCTATTGAGCTTTACTCATCTTCCTCCTCCACATTCCTCTTATAGAGTGAAGACGACCTTTTATCGTATGCTTAGAGAGTGGGGTATTGATAACAAGATCTTCTTTATCACCTTGGATAATGCTAGAAATATGACTAACATGCAAAATGAATTGCGTGATCAGTTGAATGGACAAAATGGATTATTGTGTGATGGCAAATTCTTTCATATACGTTGTTGTGGGCACATATTGAATCTTATTGTCCAATATGGATTGAAGGTGATAAAATATGGTATTAGATCTGTGAGAGAAAGTGTAAAATATGTAGAAGGATATGAAGGAAGGAAAATTAAGTTTAAGGAATGTGTTGAGCAAAGTGGGATGAAACAAACAAGGTTTTTGTGGTTGGATGTGCCAACAAGATGGAATTCAACTTATAATATGCTTGAGAGGCAAATCATTATCGTCAAGCATTTGTAAACTTAGCAAGGATGGATTTCGAGTATAATGAATGTCCATCATCTGAAGATTGGGAGAAGATAGAAGTGCTTATAAAATTCTTGAAGCCTTTTGATGATATCACAAAGTTATTTTCTGGAACTAAGTACCCGACTAGTAATATGTTTTTTGAGAATGTTTGGAAGATTCATCTTGAGTTGAGGCTTCTTTCTACAAGTCTGGATGATGATATACGTGCTATGGCAAATGCAATGATGTTGAAATTCTTGAAGTATTCGAAAGAGTAACTTTGTGCTTGCTTTTGGAGTTATTTTGGACCCTCGTTATAAGGTTGCTTTTGTGAAGTATTGCTATGAAAAGTTGGGTGGAGAATATGTTTCAAAAGCCGAGGATGTTGTGGATGATTTGGAGTTGCTTTTGGAAGAATATAAGAATCAATCGGCCACTTCAACTACTCAAAGTGGTGTGTCTATGACTTTTCCAAGCGTTCCCTTGGACAATTACACTGCTGTAAGTATTTGTTTGTTGCTACATTTATGAATTATGTTATTGTGTTTTGGTTTTTGGTTAATTATTTGTTTTGTTTCATGTACATGCTAACTGTAAAGAAAATGATGAACATGCTTATGTGTTAATATCAATGATATCTATATTTATTGTTTGTAGGGGTTTTATGCATTCAATATCAACCACAATACGTCAACTAGTTCTGAGTTGCAATTGTATTTGGCTGATCCTTTGATACCTGCATTTGGGGACATTGATGGAGTCTCTAAGCTACTTCCTTTTGATGTCTTGCAATATTGGAAGGACCATCAGAGTCTTCTTTTAGTTTGGGAGGAAGAATATTAACAAAATGGAGAACTTCGATTTTGTCTGATACTCTTGAAGCTGTTGTGACAACTCGTAATTGGATACGAGGATACCAAATGGGTAAGAAAAAACAAATTGTTATATTTGTACTGAACAAACTATTCTCTTTTCCTATTATTTTATTTTCACTGATTAATTGTACAGATGACGATGATGAAGATACGAGGGATGATGGAGAAGAAGTAAAGCTTCTAGAGTGATCGTCATTTGGAATGTCAATTTGTTTTTTGACATGTTTTATTGATATTTGAGGTCTTGAGACAATATGAACTATTATGAGTCATGTATTCTTGTTATGATCAGACTTTTGTGAATTATTATTAGTCTTTTTTATGATAGGACCGTGATATTTGGATTTTAAATCTTATAATTATCTTATTATGCTAAATTAATATTTTATAATGTTATGTGCACTATTAGGTTGATGATGTATCTAAATCAATATTTGATGATGTTATATGCGTTAATAGGTTGATGATGTATATTATTATACTAAGTTAATAATTGATGATGTAATGATCAGACTTTAGTGAACTAGAATTTCAAATGTCAACTTATAGTTTATCTTCATCGAATTCCTTCTATTATAGTCGGGTTGCGGGTTGGTCGGGTTACGGGTTAATCGGGTTGCGGGTTAGTCGGGTTGCGGGTTAATCGGGTTGCGGGTTGGTCGGGTTGCGTGTCGATCGGATTGCGGGTTGGTCGGGTTGTGGGTTGGTCGGGTTACGGGTCATTGACTTTTAGTCAAATCGGGTTGCGGGGCGGGTTGATCGGGCGGGTTACTCGGGTCGGGTTACTTTTTGATAGATCTAGGGATAAGTGGCCTATCCAAAGACACACCATCCATTGTTGACACACAGTAGGGGTGTCAATTCGGGTCGGGTTTGGTTACCCGAACCAAAACACGAAAAAACCCGAAACCGAAAATCACTGAAAACTGAACCCGATAAGAGTTTGCGGGTTTCAACCAAAACCCGAAAATTCCTTATCGGGTTCGGTTAAAGCAAAACCGAAACCGAAAAACCCAAAACCCAAAACAAACCCGAACCCAAAACACCAAAATGTATATAATCGGATCGGTTTCGGGTAAACCCGAAAAACCGAACCCGAATGGACACCCCTACACACGTACACATGGATGGATTGGATGGTACTAATACTATACTAGTGTCTGTCAGTTGGTGAGAGCCACTTACTGAATAATGATATGCATGGTGAGAAGTCAAAATGAACAACTGCGAACTCATTACTTTAATTAACCCTCTGATCCATTGTTACAGTAGGTTGCAAACGCTGGACAAATACGTTGTATGTCGTGCGTTAAGTTTATATTTTATGCAGTCTATTCAATAAAAATCATTTGATTTTCTCAATCGCATAACTTTGCCGGCACACTTTAAGAGCGTAGTTTTTTCTATAAACTAATCATATAACTTCTCAAGTACGTATTAACAAGATAGTAATTCATATACTTCATCTATCATTGAAGTTCATGTAAAGATAGAAAGTATTCTAGGTCAAAATGCAGCATGAAGTACGTATTTTGAAACTTTTTGAAATTTTGCAAGACGAGTAAGAAAATGTTTATTATTAAGTTGACACAAGTAAAATGACATGGCATTTTTAATCCATTCTAGTAGTGAAATTGAAAGTAAAATTGTCTTACTCCCATTGCAATTTCGAAATCTCAAAACTTCTATCAACAATTGTCGAAACTTGGCATAGCTTATCGTTAAAGCTCAATTTGAAGGACACCATGCTAGAATTTTGAAAATTTTGACATGAACTTTCTCTAACCAACTTATGATGTCATTCGCAACTTGCTTCGGTCCTCTTTTTATATTGATCCAGACCTTCATGTCATAGGCTTGTAGGAAGTCTTCCATGCAACCTTTCCAAAATGCATAGTTGTTGTTGTTGTCGAGTTTTGGAGGTTTTGTTGTGGATTATCCTTCAGCTTGCGTAATTAGAGGCAAATGATTCATCAATATTGCTAAAGATCTTGTAGCTTCCATCTTGGATCGTGGATAAAAATTACAAATGAGCTCTTGGTTAGGATCAAACCTAAGAAGGGAATTTACAAATTTATTTAATGTTTTAGTTGGTTCAATCTAGGCCAAAGAGGATATTAGGAACAAGTTAATAGTCTAATAGTGTGTGAATGATCGAGACTATCGGGCTAACACTGTATTAGGAATTTCTATGGTTAAAGAAAGAACATTGTATATGTATTGTGTTTGAATGATTCTTGATAGCTAGCTAGTGGGATTTGAAATTTTGATAATGCTTCTCTACTAGATTTTACCTTAGATGAATTGTGTTTCGGTCGTTTGTCTTTCAGTAATTAATTTTATTAGCTAAATCAACTGCTTAAAAATTACCAGTTAGATAACAAAAAATAAATAGTTAATCTCCTAAAGATACTATATGGAGGTTCTCCTCCAGAACCCCATTAGAATACCTTTTGCTGCCTTCTGCGCAATGCACGGAGGGATACATAAGTAATTTTCAGCGCTGGGATTTTTGTGCGGCTTGTGGTTTCAAGTCCCATAATGGACCAGGCCTAATAGCCAATGTCCCCAATTTATAATTTGAATATTTTTTTCCCCTTTCTTCTCTTCTAAATTATACACGTGTATAAAAGTATGTCAATAGTAATATGTTTAATAGTATGTCAATATTAATAAAATAAATCAAATTAATGATTTTATAAATAAATAATATTTAAATTTATATTAATTCATTAAATACGAATATTAAATGTGTTATACGAGTTTTATACCAGTATAGTACGAGAGTCGTCAAATGAATGGGAATAAGTGAAACAGTTTGACAATAATACGGATACCAAAATTTTAACGGATACAATACGTACATCCATATATTTGATTATCAAACGAAGTATTTACTAACTAATGATTCACTTCGACAATGAAAGATTGAATGTAAGTACAAATATTGTATAAGCATAATTATATAGATTTGGCAATTTAATATGTGTCCATTTCACGTGTTGTTCGGGAAAAAGATAGGTGTTTTTGTACCATCGGAAGGAGTAGTGGATTCTAATCAGTCTCTATCTGAAGTGCAAAAAAATATCCCGGTGGTATGAATATCGATGAAATATTATTCCATTTATGAAATATCGATGAATCATCAGTTGATTTTAATCTCTCTAGCTATTTCACACTATTTGAACTTACAAAATCAATACTCTCCAGTTTACATTGCAGAAACGTGTTATTTAATTAATCAGAGTTGAAGAAAATTAATTAGTCATTGACCAGACTAGCAAGAAGGAAACATGTTATTTACATAAAGCATAAGCGTATATATGGAAAAATTGTGAACATTCCACCTAGTAATCTATTTGTTTCATGTATTTATAAGATATCAAATTATGTGTCAGCCGCTAAAATTGCTTATTTTACTAATTCCTATATAGGACTATAAAATGAGATGAATAACTTACAATCTAAGAGAAATAAATTGTTGAGGTCCATCAAACTTGCCGAAAATCGTCATAATCATCTTCGAGTGATGTGTTCTGGTGACTTTCCAGGTTTATTGATATTTTGGTTATTTCAATTTTCTTCATTTATTATAATGCTTGAGTCTTTCACCAATTGTATTTCTTATAATGGAGTTTTAGTTTTATTGCAGTTGTTGAAGTGTTTGATGTTGGAAAACCATCAAATAAATGAGCATATTGTGGAGCGATGATGTGGAAGGACGAAACTACCGAACCGACAAGAAATTCCCATCAACCAAAGTTTTCAAAGTTTTGCAGACAAGGTGAAGTGAAGCTTCATCCTCGAAGATAGCATCGAGAGGTTTTGAATATGCTATTGCAAGCAAGCACTTCAATGAGACGTCACTTTTTGGAATATATCTGAGGATATAATGGGGTCTTTGCTTTGACGTCTATCGGAGGTAAAATAGATCGATCTATCAATGATGGACACAAAGTATATTTTTATTAGATTGAAGGTCAAGTAAATCATCGAATCGGTAGCCTGATATCTACTAAAATGAACGAACCAAAATTTGCTCAACTCTACATCTATGACACTGGCAATGAACTCCAAAACAGGTTAGATTCTTTCTCCACAGATCCAGATTCAAATCCTTTGCGTGATTCAATTATTACAGGAGATGTTAGATTCAAGTAATAGCTTAATGAAGACATTTTGATTTGCAAGGGATAGATTGAATGACAGCACTATTCAACAAGTCGAAATAATGTTGCTTGCGAAAAGAGAGGGATGGTAGAGAATATGATTTGCCAAAAGCAAATAAGATCGCTGTTTTAATTGTTGATGATACTGGGGAGCAAACATTTCTCATTATATTATTGTTCAGTATTAAAGTCATGAACTTGAACAAAATAGTGCAACTTTTCTTTATTTCAAATTCACATGCATGTTGTTGCATACTTGGTTGTATAATCAATGTGTATAGGTCTTCACTTTAATACCAAATATTATACACTTATAATTCAATAAAACAACAAATATTGAATACCAAATATTGAATGCCAAAAATTGAATATCATTATCCTAATGCAGGAGATCCATAATGGCATTGATAATGATGGAGGTACTAGATCCGGTGCAAGAAATGAGGATGCTCTTCAGAAGAAGTGGGAGTCACCTCATATTGGACCAAAACATGTCACCAATGGAGAAGATGGTGGATATGATGTTGCTCATGGCAAAGGGAATGCAAACAAGCTAAAAACAAAACATAGAGTGTTTTCTGACGATGAGGAGTAAATAGAATGGTTCGTAAAAGTAAATTAGGAGTCGATTCTCTCGCATAGGGTTTGTTTTTTATTTTTTTCAAAAACAGTTTTACCCGATGAGTTAGTTAGAATATTCAAAAAATACTATGATGGTGATCCTTTTGAATGGTTGAAGTATTTTAATTTTTTACTTCATTTACTTTTGGTAGGACCTAATTTTGTTTTCAGTTAAATAACATATGTTTTTGGTTATGCATTGACAATACATTTTGAGGAGTGTGTTCCTTATTAATATTATTCTTATGATGTCGTGACTAATAAATATTATGCAACGAATGATCTAAGAAGTGTGTTATCATGATTTAATCATTAATTCACCTACTTATCTTTCATTTAATCAATTAATTTGTGGAAGATGGAAAAAAGACACTTGATGGCGTAGTAATCAAAATCTCCTAAAGTACTATTGTACTTATACCCAATTATTTAGCTTGGTCCACATTTTTATTGTTTGATTTGGGTTTGTAACCATACTCATAAAAAATTATATTATTCTACCTGAACTTAATATATTTGAAAAGTCAACAACTTAAATTATTTTTTG